CTCGCCTATTACCGTAAGAACGCGAGCGTTACGTTACCGCCACGTACCGCTGGGGAGGTAGGGGTCAACATGTCACAGTATGTAGAGAATTCTGTATGCTTGTCTATGGGACGTTGTGTCTGTGCTCAGTGAATGTTGTATTGGTATGCGAGGTATGCAGTTCAGCACTGTAACCATTTACCTGCATGTTTGGTGCCACTTCTTCTCTCTTTTGTAACCGTCCCTCATCTCTTTCGCCTGCGGCTCCGTCTGGATATTAGTGCAGGGAATGGGAGTTAATGGCAATCAGCCCCTCTGCTCCAATGACCACTTTGACACTGCCCTACCTGGTGTTGCCACTGCTGAAGTTGCTATGTCGTAGCTGGTTTCGGCTTGACCTGGCTCCACCGCTTCTTCCTTCAGTTGATTATTAGTGGTTGGATTTCAGGATTGGATCTGATAATATGGGTGCCAGCAAACAGCTATAATCTGTTTACGATTCATAGTAAGTGGGGAAGGTGTGAGCATTTGGAAGCTGACTGTGGGTTTGACTAGCTTTTGGAGATGAGTCTCTTCAGGTCAAATACGGGTCAGGCTCGGACAAGTGAGGGTGAAACACCTCTAATCAACACAATGCACTTTACACCACAACGCTTTATTGCTGTTCTTCCTAAGGACACTTGGCTGCGTAAATTCTCACAACCTGATTTAGTTTCGGCTTACAAGCAGCGGGTGTTACACTTCCACTAAAATGCAGTCAATCAGCTTGCTAAAATCCTTGGTGCTGCGCTCATGTTGATTACGCTAAATCTCAATATGAGTCATTATGAGAGCAAAAAAATTGGACTTCTTAGAATTATCTTTTAGCGTGAGTGATGCGGGGTTTGCCTCCGCCAAGTTCAAAGGTTGATAGACAACTAAAAATCTTAGACTGAACTCTCTGCCGAGCCAGAGGCCCTAACTGATTTGTATTTGCCTATTCTCCTCTCCTCCTAATTTCCCTGATAGGCCAATTCAAATAAGGGGAGTTGGTTTAATTTTGGTTCCAGACAGAGAGACTATTTTAAAGAGAATTTTGCCCTAAAAGACAAAACGGTGAAATTGACAGCGATGCAACTTATGAGGGGTCACCAATGATTTCTTGGCACTCCCAATTCTGACTTACGACTGGTAGAAACTGTCACTTGTTAAATTCTCAAAGTGTCTTGCCGCTGCAAGGCTAATTCTCAGTTTCTAAAGAAACTCAGTGGGGTTTCTTGAAGTATCACTTTCTACCCTTTTGGAAAATAACACCAGATGCTTGGACACAAGGACTAGCAGATGTCCTTGTCTGCACAAGTGTGGTCTATCTGCTCATCGCCTATTCCTTGTTCTTACAGTGTGTCTTAATTAAACCTTTGTTTCCTCATAACTTCTTATTAATAAACTATATTAGCTACTAATAAAAAAGGGGAGGGAAGGATTTCAATGGTGCGGTTACATCACAGCATACCTTACATACTGCTACAACAACCTGATGTAATTGATCTTAATTTCTAATGGTAAAAATCCCTGTACAGTGACATGTGTAAAGCATTTCCCTGTTGTGTTGGAGAACCTGATGTTGATGGCCAGTGCTGGCCAAACCTGTAAAGATGTATTTATATATTCTCATATTTCACTGAAATATAAAGCAATGGGATGGATCAAGATATCTTTTACTTAAAAGAAGTAATGGTTTCTTTTTTTTGTTATGGTTCATAATCTTGATCTTTGCATTGAATTTTCTTAAGCTTGTGCGCTCTCTCATTATATTGTAGCATTGTGCTGCATATCACTTAGTATCAGATGGTCAAAACATGTAGTGAAAAACTTAAAAGTTATATGATATGATATTTAAAGTGAATAACCTTTAAATGAGTTTTATAGAAATACGTGTTGCACGTTAGACAGTGGAACCAGTAACATTTGATGTTGAGCACTCTGTTTAATGGGAATATATGCAGATATGATAATCCTGTAACATAACTTTTCTTTTTATAGAATTAGACAAGTATACTAACAATTAATGGAAATCAGGAAGTGTTGAGTTACTTGTTTACCAATTCTTATGTGCACTTGATTTCTAGAGGGCCTTATTTTTACTTGAGTTCTAGAAATCCTAATTTTCTTACAGGGTTTTTGGGAACCCCTTGCTGTCATTGTCAAATTGTATGCATCAGACATTGGTGACCTCCAGAGTGATTTTATAATGGAGCTAAACTACAATTTACTTACAGAATAAAGCTTGTAATTTATTTCTTGCAGGAAAAATGATTGATTATGTTAAATGCTTAGAATGTGGTACAGAAAAGTCGAGAGAAGATACATTTCTGGACATCCCTCTACCAGTGCGACCATTTGGTAGTTCAGTGGCATATGGAAGTGTTGTAAGTATTGTTTAGTTGATGTGTAGTGAGAATTCTTTGTGTACATGTGTATTTGTTTCATTTGAATTGTTCTTGTTGAGATGGTGGTGTAAAGTCTCATTAATTAAAAAATATGTGTTATTAAAAATAAACCTAATTGACAAACACTGGTTTATTCACTGCTTAATTTTAATTTTAGTTTAACATTATACACTTTGACACTACATGTTTCAGCCCCAAATGGCCATCTTCAGGTATCTTGATATGTTACAAATATTTTATTAAATTATTATAAAACTGCTACACTCTCTTAGTCCATGTTAAAATCACACGCTGTAGTTCTCTTTTCAAGGTAAAACCAGATAAAATTCTTTAAAGTGTCTATTATACCCACGTTATTTTGGTGCTTTTTATTTTATCTCTCACGGGGTGTCGTCCATTGTTCATAAATGTATGTCTGTCCAGGGTGTTTTGTTTCAACAGCTGGCCGCTCACATTGTCTTTACAACACCACATGCTGTGGAGGAAACATGCAAACCAGGGGCATATGGCAGTCATAACTGAAAAATAGGCTATGAACATGAGGGTAAGATGCTGAAACAAAACACCCTGGACAGACATACATTTATGAACAACGGACGACACCCCGTGTGAGGTGAAATAAAAAGCACCAAAATAACGTGGGTATAATAGAAACTTTAAAAGAATTTTGTTTGGTTTTACCTTGAAAAGAGAACTACAGTGTGTGATTTTAACATGAACTAAGACAGTATAGCAGTTTTAACATAATTTAATAAAATATTTGTAACATATCAAGACATCTGAAGATGGCCGTTTGGGACTGAAACATGTAGTGTCAAAGTGTATGATGTTAAACTAAATTTAAAATTAAGTAGTGAATAAACAAGTGTTGCAATGTTGACAGACAATAAATACACAGACGTTAAGTTAAACAATTGCAACAGGATGTTGAAATACAGAACTAATTGAAGAATTTCAGAGTCTCACAAGATTTATGTAACACCATGTAGTCAAGTGAAAGTCAGCCAGAATTTTGGAAAAACGTGTCCCCTTCATTTCCAAGGGTTGAAGAGGAAGCCAAGGAAAAAACCAGCGTGGTACAGGCAGCAAGCAGAACTTCATGTTGGGTACTTGGTTGGCTTATTCTTCAGTGCTTGAAGATGGAGGTGACATGTTCTTCTGAAACATTGGTTGACAGTCATTGGACTACACAGCATTATTTTCTCAGAGATAGAACTCTTCATAATTGAATGAAATTGTAGTCTTGTAAAGTAAAGATAACGTTTCTGCGAGCACTATGCTATGAACATGTGTAGAGAGTTGATGTATAGATATCCATGTATTCTTGACCACAGCATTAGTTCAAGGTGAGTGGTTAATTTCACAAACTGTCCACCTTACCTGTGGGCAAAGCACCCCTGGGACCTGTTGGATATGAGGCTGGGTGGGCCTCAGAATTTGTCTGGACAACATGGAGAGGTGAAAAATCTTGCCCCTACTGAGACTCAAAGTCTGACCACTCAGTCATCCAGCCTATAGCCCGTGACTATACTGACTGCTCTGGCCCAGCTTCGATCTTGTAAAGTAGTATGTGCAAAAAACCTAAAAGAAAGACTTTCTTGTGTTATTAATGTTTGTGCTTGAAATCATCAGTTTTTTGCTGTTTACATACAACACGGCATCAGAAACTCGTTCACAGTTTGAAGATCTACAGGCATCAATGGATCAAAGACACCAAAATTTTCACATTGTCCATACATTTTGTAACTTACTAATATATTGGGTTTTTCGACTTTATCCATCGTCCTGGTTTTTAAGATAACTAATAAAAACACGACGTTTCGGAAACTGGATCTGTTTCCATCCTCAGGTGAAGGAAAACACCTATTCTGTTGGGTCTGTTAGAAAGAGCTAGCCTCAATCACTGGACCCAGATCCAGTTTCCGAAATGTCGTGTTTTTATTAGTTATCTTAAAAACCAGGACGATGGATAAAGTCGAAAAACCCAATATATTAGTGTGTTATACACCATCATCAGAATCCTATAGTAACTACTTATTTTGTAACTTGTTTTATTTTATTTTAGGAAGAAGCATTAAGAGCTTTTGTACAGCCAGAGACTCTTGATGGCAACAACCAGTATTACTGTGAAAAGTGCAACAAGAAATGTGATGCTCACAAAGGACTGAAATTTTCCAAGTTTCCATACCTTCTTACATTACATCTGAAGCGTTTTGACTTCGATTATAACACTCTGCACCGAATCAAACTCAATGATAAGTGAGTACATAACGAAGGAATTATGTTTGAATTGTTGTTGTTTCAGATGTGTTTGAAACTTCGTATCAGATATGGTGGTCAAGTGATTAGCCCTTCACGAAGTTGTGGGTTCCATTCTTATCCCAAATAGCAGTGATCCAGACAGGTTGTTCGTGATTTTAATAATATCCTCCACCTTCAGCCAGTTAATGGGATAGTGTCTTTGGACCACATCTTTCTACATTCACATTTATTCTTGCATTTGGCATGGGATAACCCATGCTGTTGAGAGAAGGCATTACTAAAGAAACTGAGAATTATAGTATGTGTGTATAGATTTTTTGTTTAGTAGTGCCTTGATCTTAACCCAATATTGGGGGACAGCTTTTGTACAAGGTGGTTAAAATATGACCAGGACTGATGTTTTTTTTTAAACCATAATTGCCAAACAAGTCAGTCTTCAACGTACTCCCCTCCCGAGTCGACACTTTTTTTTCCAGCGTTCTGGAAGCATCCTGATGCCCTTTTCAAAAAAGTTTTGTGGTTGGCGGCGTATCCACTCCCGAACATTCTGGATGACGGCGTTGTTGTCCACAAACCGCATGCCTTGCAAGTCTGATTTGAGCCTTCCGAACAGGTAGAAATCACTTGGTGCCAAATCGGGACTGTACGGCGGATGTGTCAGAAGGTTCCATTTCAATTTCTGGAGGGTTTCCATTGTTGTTTTGGCCGTATGGGGGCATGCATTGTCTTGAAGGAAGGCTACCCGCTTTCCACCTCTCTTCCGCTTGGATCGGATCTTTTCCTTCATGTCTGTTGCCAGGAGGTCTGAGTAATAAGCTGCATTGACTGTTCTGGCATCTGTCAGAAAGTCTGCATGGATAACCCCCTGCCAGTCCCAGAAGAACGTTGCCATCACTTTTCCTGCCGAACGGCTCCTCCGCGCTCTCTTGGGTTTGGGAGGACTGGTATGCCGCCACTTGCGTGATGATTGCTGGGACTCGGGAATGAAGTAGTCCACCCACGTTTCATCGGTGGTCACTATAGACTTCAAAAATGCATCACCTTCGTCTTCAAACGGCTGTAGGAGACAACTGGCAACTTGCATGCGCACCATTTTGTTCATGTCCGTCAAAGTGCGTGGTACCCACCGTGCATTCACCTTACGACAGTGCAGGTGGTATTTCATGATGTCTTCTACACTACCAACACTGATGGACAGCATTGCTGCAAGTTCCTTGATAGTGACGCGCCTATTCTCACGAATAAGTGTGTCTGCACGATCAATGTTTGGCTTGGTGACGGATGTTCGTGGCCAACGATCATGCGGTTCATTCTGCACGCGTGCTCTGCCCTCTCTGAAGCACTTACACCACTCAAACACACGGGTCCGTGAGAGACACTCTTCCCCATACTGTTGTTGGAGTCTGTGGTGAATTTCAGCGGACGGGACGTTTTCTCCAACGAGGAATTTGATCACAATGCGTTGTTCCACGCTCCGTGGTACCTTCTGTTCACTCATCACTCTAGCAACTTCCAGACAGGACTGAACAGGTTCTAACCCTAACAGGAGGGAGGGTGAAGGTTGTGGCTTCACTCTCTCAAGGTCGCACAGCTGCTGCGCAGTGCGGCTTGTTTACAAAAAAATCAGTCCCGGTCATATATGAACCACCTAGTACCTGTGTTATAAGTGAAAATGACATTTGTGTAATTTTGGAATCCCTGTTATTATGTATACAGTATTTATGCAGTGAATAAAATGTTTACATGAAATTTAAAGTACATTTCAGACTAGTTGAGCAGGTAAAAGGGGGTGCTCATTAAATTCTGCTGTTTGAATTGAATAGTGAGGTCAGAGAAACCAGAAACATAAGCCTTTTCATAGTGGACTGTGGACTTTACCAAACTGCAGCGAGGAATACTGCAGTCCAGTCTTATATTGTAACAAACATTTCATAGAAACTGGTATGACATGAAACATATTTCCACATGTTAGTGATTTGACACAAGGTTTGGATTGATAACTGGATTTAGTGAATGTTTACAACTTGTAACCACAAATAATTATAATGCTGTCACTAACAAACCACTGCTGCATCCTCCAATTCTCATTCTGTTATGTCTTTGCTGGTTGTTGCTTCACTTCATATGGAGGTTTGTCTGCTTTGGTGCTCATGTTCTCATTGGATGACAGCTTGCTTGATATGCTGGTTTTCATTATATAGCCTTGGATCAGATCACATAGAAAACACTGCCATCAGCAGCTGCTGTGTTGTTGCATATTTATTCGTTACCTAGCGATGGCCTGCTTGTTTGATGATATGGTAGCGTGTTTACTTTGCCGTTGCCTAGTAATGGATGATGTACTTAAAGCTGTGGGAGTGTGTTTACTGGCTATTACCTAGCAGTGGCCTTTCCTTGTGGCTCCACTATTCCTGCTTCCAGCCATTATGTTACAGTATATAATCATATTGGCGGACAGGACAAAAAGAACAGTATATATGAAGATCTGTGGTATAATAAAGGCCTCCTGTATACTGATCATTTTCAATGACCATAGATTGTGGTGTAATAGAAAACACAGAGACTAAGTAGAACAGGATCAAGTAAAGTGATGTGTTCGACAGATGAAATGTCACAGCAATTAGTCAGTCATATGGTGGTGTGAATGGAATGCAGCTTTATAATTATCTTTATAGAGAAACTTGAAGACTGCCTCTGTGGTCTAGTGATCAGCGTTCCTGGCTACAGGTCCACAGGTCCCGGGTTCGATTCCCGGCTCTTCCAGATTTTCTGAAAAGTAGTGGGTCTGGAACGGGGTCCACTCAGCCTTGTGAGGATAATTGAGGAGCTATTTCAAGGAAGTAGCAGCTCCGATCTAGAAAACTGAAATAGAAATATTGAGTGACACTAAGAGTTTTGAGGTACAATTAAAACAATTTTTATATTCACATTCTTTTTGTTCTTTGCAGGAATATTTTGGTTATAAATCTTTTTAAGGTGCGAGTAGTTGTCTTGCTTTACAATTTGTTACACCTCAGGGGGAGGGGGTGAGAACTTATAATTACTTTCGTCGGTTATTCTCTTTCACTAACATCTATGTTGCACTCGGCTGCCGTCGGCGGTCTTGGCTAGGGGAGCTCGGGCTGGGTTGAGGACGGGCTGGTTACTAATGGGCGAATCAGAACTCCCTGTGTACATTCTCCACTATGTACACTTGTCTATTTACAATCATAAATACCTTAATAAAAAGGCCTGCTCTTATCTGTTTACATGACATATCTCGCTAAACTCATTCTACCGTCCTAGTTGTGAAGGGGAGGTGCCTGAACTGCCTCCTATCATCGTCTGCTACTGTACATTCATTCCTACCCTGTTCTACCCTGACTCTCACTTGGTTCACTGGATACTGCCTCATTATCTCACAATAACACTTGTGTTAACACAACCTTTAACAGCATGGCGTATATGAGCAACTAGACTTACTTGCAATACAAATGTAGATTACAGCCGTTGTCCACCCTCTTATGGAATACATGTCGCCGAGAGCCTCCGGCTGACAACTGAATATTCTGTTAGAACATGATCTAAGTCCCCCGAAATTCCCTAATTTATGGTTTTATTTCGCTGATTCAGCCTTGACGAAAGAGGGTGGGTGACTTCCCCTCAGTGTCCTCAATCCTCATAATAACCTCCTCATTGGCTCTCATGGGTGGTTGTG